AAGTTGAGACAGACACTTTGAACTTTATGTCACCTTTGTTAATTTACATGTAACTTAAGCTGAAGCTTTTCCTTTTATAAATTTCGATGTCTCTCTGAACTAATAAGCTTATATTTTTATCAATAAACCTTAATCCGCTTAACAGTGATTGGAAGAAAAGCACTGGAATAATTCTGCAAAACTGCAAATCAAGAGCATAAAGAATAATCAAAAGAACAATGTGGATTTCATACTTCAACAAAGGAGCTCAAAACAAAGTTATGATATACCAATTCACTTGTTCTTTCAATACATGAAGGCATTAGCTACTCAAATTTTTCACTAATTTTTCACTTATCTTGTTAGTTAATACTATTTTTTTAATCCAATTTAAATGTTGAATTGCATTTTTCCCAATATTGTTCTGATCTTATTGTTCTGATTTTTTATGGTCACCTACTGTATTAACATGTTTTTGTAAATAACTTATCTAATGTGTTAATAAATGCTCAAAATACAGCTGACCATCTTGCAAAAGCAGCTCTTACAATCTCCGAGTTATGTTGCCATTGGCAGCTTGATTTTTGCTTAGTTTTAATAATGTTTTGTTGATTTCTGAAATGATATAGTCAAACAAATAATGAGAATGTAGTCCCCTGTCCCACATTATCATTTAATAGAATAGTTTTTACATACTTTTTTCAATGTGCCAAAGGTCAAAAAAGTGCTCAATTTTAGGTTTTCCCATTTGATTACAGATACCAGGACATTCCTCTCTCATCCACTTGGCTATGGATGTGTGGCGGTCAGTGATGTATTCCTTAATGACCATTCCTGTGGCCAATAGGAACTATAATATAGCCATAAACCTCATCTCTACCAAAACAAKTTATGATCGATTATAATATGGATATTTTTGGCAWAATATACATGTATGATACCTGTACTTGGGTTATGTTCATGATGAGACCAATAGTGCAACAAAATATTGTGTATGTGCAATACTTGGCAGAATGGCCCATGGAATCGTGTCTGCCGTCACCTGCCAATGCCACTTCTTGACCATCAACTTGATCTAGAAGCTTAGTTTGGTATTTTCTCCAGTGATAAATTATGGAAGGGATCAGTAAATGCTTTTGGTGGTAATAGTATGTTGATTCATTATAAATCAACACATTGATATGGCGTAACACCAGAAGCACTTTTTTTACTGATGCACCAGCACAAAGAATTCCAAAGCTCAAAAGAAGGTTAAAAGCTGGGAATCTCCCAAGTAGCATTGGTTGGCTTGACCATGTGTATATGTTTTCACATTTTTGGCATTTTGTTGTTACAGTTATCATAGTGCCAGTCTGTGATGTGCTCACAGATGGATCTGGACTTTGGCAAAGATGACAGAATTTAAATAGCATCATCAGGTGGGACAAGAAAACRATCAATTTAGGTTGCTCTCTTAGGTCTTTTCCTTCGGTTTTCAATCTGAAAAAGACAAAAAACATGCATTAATGTTTATCATTGTGCCCCAATATATATAATATATCTCAAGCCTTAATCAGATGTCTATTATGTTTTGATTCCATTTTTATCTGTACTGACTAAACTTCTAACAGTTACATACTGCATAGATTATGTCAGAATAGTAGCAATAATAAAAAATAATTGACAAAATTTGTTTGCTATTGTTTACCTTGAACTAAATGAATTTCCTTCTCCAGCTGTATCATTCCCATCAGATGGATCATATGAGTATCTTTCATCAATTTTGGGGTCACACATGTTGGGCTCTTCATCAATGGAGTATTCACCATCCTCTCTCAGAACTTGTTCCACCTCGTCATCTATCTCTTCCTGCTCAACAGTCATGTCACATGTATTCTCAATTTTATCATCTTTGATGTCATTGATATCAGTCTGACAACCTGCTAATAAGAGTATTGTAATTTAGTTGACATTGGATTTCATGGCCTACTTAATTTAAAACAAAATTTAATGTTGATGTTGCATAAACAAGAAGAGGACTAAAGCCTATAAGCCCAGGTAATTCAAAGGACTACTTCGTCTAAATTACTTTGGTAACCCTTCAGTTAGTGTTTCACATATGGGCTTAGTACAATGGAGACATGAACACTTCCATTAGTTTATTCTAATAATGTGTACCTGAAGTAACTGTGTTTTTGCATTTACTAATCTCTTCCATTGCCTTATTGAGGTTAGAGTTCTCTTTTTCTTTTTTGGACATCTT